GTATACATATCACACACCGTCTTCAAAAGAGTCACAACTCAAAATTTGGCATATTTGAAATGATGCGCTAAAAATGTATACAGAGCTTTTATTTACCTTTCAGCAAAAGCTGGACCAAATTTTTGTTATAATTTCTTGAAAAACCTAAGGTAAATTCGCCTTTGCCCATATGATTCGCATGGGCTACGAAATAGTTTTTCGCATTTTCTGACGAACGTATTAATAATAATAATAGATTGGCGCTTACACATATGTTAGTGTTTGGCCGAGCTTCTCCTCCGATTTGTGGCGTGCGCCTTGATGTTGTCACACAAAGCGGAGGGACCTACAGTTTTACGCCGACTCCGAACGGCGATTGTATTTTTATGAGAAGCTGTTTTTCATGGCAGAAATACACTCGGAGGTTTGCCATTGCCTGCCGAGGGACGACCGCTGTTAAGAAAAAACCTTTTTTCTATATTTTTGTGATGTTGCTTTGACCAGGGTTTGAACCCAGGCATTGTGGAGTGGAAGCGCGCACTGCTTACCACTGCACCACAGCGGCCGACAACGTCGAACGTATTATTTTGAGTTAAAATAGCAAGTTAAAATAGCACTGGAATAGCTACGCTTGATTGTAGTCAGGGGCGTAGCGAAGGGGTTCAACGTGGGGGGTGATTTGAATGGAAATGCCGACTGGGCTTGACTAGGGACACGAATTTCGATACGATACGATACCATATCGATACTTTTGGCATTCGATACCGATATTTTCTACGCGATAGTTTTAAAACGATATTTTTTGGAATCGAGTACCAGAACCCTAGTATCGTATCGAATATCATAAACTCACATTCCAACACTGAGGGAAAAAAATTTTAGAATTAAAAAAAACGTGCTAAATTGAAAAAATACGCATATGAAATAGCACCAACCCAACTCGTTTTAAATTTGAGTAAATACGTTATAAAATATGTGGTTGTAAAGTGCACAGATGCTTTTTCGTAATTAAGAGGAAAAAAAATTAATTTCATATTCCGTCTGATGAGAATTGAACCCGGATCCTCTTGGCCGCTACTAATTGTATCAAGCGTCTTTGCATACTCAGCTACAGCCATACATGTAAAGGTGTTTTCAAATGTTGAGTTTGAATCAACATCACAGCGCGCGATTTGTGCATTATGTCATACCATGTATGTGTGGATGTGTTGTCACCGCTGTGCATGCTTTGTATACATATACCTTCTTAATTACATATGAAAAAGCATCCGAGACGTGCAAAACGCCATCCGTGTAGTGGAAAATGCTTCATTTTAGTACGGGAGTATTTGAATTGAATATTTCCATTATATGTACGTAGTGTATGTATAATGGGAAAATCCAGTTTGTTAAGACTTTTCACTTGATTTAAACACGAACATTTTTAAAGGGTAATCAAATAAATAATTTTTATTCTTACAACGCGTTTTTTATCTCAGTGAAGGATAATGATAATGGAGTGCAATGGGGTATAGTCGTTGCGCTGGGTATACAGTTACAGTTGCATGGCTATACTCAATCCCGACTCTTGCGTCCTCGTTCGCACACTCTGGGCAACCTGAGCAACCCATGTGCGAGATGCGGTAACCAATCCGAGTGGAGCCTTGGGTCACGGCAGAAAGAGAGGGAGTTTCGGTGGGGCCA